GGTGTAATCCTAATTTCCCACCCTCACTTTGCTCTTTGTTAATTTGCTCTTGTACCTCCTTCACGTGATCTAATGGTAGTGCTGCATCATCAACATAGTCTGGGTAGAATATTGTGACCAGATGTAGAGTTATTCCTCAAGACTTTGTTGATATAGCAAAGTCCAAATCTTCATATTCATTGAGTGCTTGACAACAGATGTCAAGTTGAGTATAAGAGAAATAGTGCTGGCATATCTCCTTGCAGCAGGCCTGCATGTACATGTACGCTGTACATGTACTTTTAATAGCTGAGATGTCCAATTCTGTATTTTTGTTCTTTTTTGTCCTTCGCAGTCACCTTTGCCGTTACTTTTGGATTCAGAAGATCTTTTTCTGCTTCTAATATTTAGTTGGTGCTTCAATTTAAATCATTTTTAAATTTATAAAATATTGTTTATTTGGGATAGGAAACTGAAGGCGTTACTGTAGCAGCATTTGGTCCCAGTAGTTATTTCCCAGCATTCTTTACACCAAGCAGTGGATATCAAGCCCCAATACATGTCAAATGTGCAAGAGATGCTGCTGAATTAATAGGTACTGTTTCTCTTTTTGTGACGTGTTAAGTAGTAATTTGGTAATGAATGGTTTAATCTTTCTAAATGTAGTTGTAAGCTTTCGTTACTTATATAATTCAGCTCTGAGACTATAGTTGGTGACTGTCTCTTTTAACAGTTTCTGACGCATTCTGAGGTACTCTAAAGAAATTAATGCAATGAGACTTCCCATGTGTGCCCATCATTTTATTATCCTTAAGCGATAGAGATGTAAAACATAATTTATTAAGTACAATGAAATAGTAGAAAAAAAGCTGTGTTTCCTTAGTCACATGCTCAGGAACAATGAATGTAAATGTATAATATTAAAACTATGCTCCCAAGCACATCACCAAACACTGCAAAGCAAGGAACCAACCACACAGTGCGCCGTATTCCCCTCGCCTCACTCAACTTGAAGATGCAGGGCCAAGTGCAAATCTTACATCAGTATAAAAGATCACACATCAAGCCCTTGTATCTTCAATTTTAAAAAGTACCGTTTTCTTCCATAATATTTTTCTTATGGATTTCCAACAGACTCCATTAGGCGCATACGTTTAGGAATTTCTAGAATCTAATGAGGAGACGTCAAGTGGTGGTTGAAAAGTCTCAACCGTTGTGATTTTGAAATGATTCAATGGAAAGTTTTCTCATAGATTTCAGTTTGAGCGTGTGTGAAGGGATTTTTATCTATGAGTCCAGCAACTGCTGTGAATGAAAATGTTTATTTCCTGTACAAAACAACATAATGTTGCAGTATGTGATAAATGCTGGAGATGATATACCATGAAGATATTGCACATGTGTGATATTCAGTCATTCAACTTCGTGATCATAATCATCTTTGTGATCTTATTTTCTCTTGTGGCAGATTACAATTTATCTTTGGAGTTAGGTAGTGGCATACTGATTGGTGTGCCAATACCAGCTGATCTTGCAGCGGAAGGCCAAGCTATTGAAGAAGCTATTAAGACTGTATTACAGGAAGCAAGGTATAGACATGATAGATTTGATTCTTGATTCGCATTCAGTGACCCTGACGTAAGGAAGAGTAACCAAGTGATGAAAATTTTATATTAATCACAACAATCGAAAGAATGGAAAGTGATTTTGCTGGAGCTAAACTGGTAGGTTTCCAAGGTCACTATGTCCAATTCCATGCGGAAAACAAGGAAAAACAAAACAAAGCTTGTTTAGAATTTTTGTAGACTCCTCTCCGTCATTTTATGAGCCTGGCCCCTGCCCAGTTTGTGCTCGTGTTGCATTCAGAAGATATGTCGAACCTGAAAGTTTACATAGAGTGAGAGCACTTGCACCTGGATACAGTTTTGTTCATTGGCTGATACTGTTTTCGTAGTGATAAAGGCATACAGGGCAAGGACGTGACACCGTACATTCTGGAAAGAGTCAACCAGATTACCAAAGGCGACTCACTGAAAGCTAGTATCCTTACAAAGCCAACATTCCTAAAAAATATTGATATTGTGATACGTATATGTACAACAATTATATGTAATTTCTGAGCTTTTATGTTAATGATTTATTGGAAGGCATAATGCTGTTCTATCATTTAGTTTTTGTCATGATATTTTGATAATATGTTTCACTTTGAAGAATACCTTTTGGCTTTCGTTATAACACCAGTATGATCAAAAGATGTTGTTACGAGTCCTTTATCAATCCCAGTTCCTGATGGAGTCTGTAACCTTAACAGACCTCTGCCAGATATTGCACTCATAAAGAATAATGCAGACATTGGCAGCAAGATAGCCCTGGAACTCTCCTACATACGGAACCAAAAGGCTCACAACAGACGCACCAAGCATAGGCATGCAACCACTCAAGATGGCAAAAGACAGGGGAGGCCAGTTGTCATAGGTGGAAGTAACGTTGACCTGATGTCGTCAATCAGAAGCCAAGAGATAATAGTAATCACTTTGCTTGTATTGGAAGGGGGCTGTTTACACTCATGTACATGAATCCGTTAGTCCGCTTTATATTTGTTTTTGTATACAAATCTCATCAGTGTAGACACTCAAGCGCCAAGTCTATCAACTCAGCAGTTTGCCCCATGCACTATGTTCTTGGATATAATCTCATTTACACCACGTGCATTGCCTAGCCCTATGTACAGGGCATGCTTGCTACAGAGCACCACACCCTCTGAATCTCACATTTGGCAGGAAAGCTTACAGTAATCCATTTATTTTAATTATCTTGCAAAGGACGTAAGTCTTATTTTTACTTTTCTACTTCTTGTGATATAACCAAAAGTACTTTTAATGACAGGTGATGTAGGACAGACGTTTTCTGGTATGCAATGAAACTTTGCTGATGTGTGGTACAGTGGTAGGTATATGGCCTGGATTTAGCCGATTGATTCCTTTTCTTGGTTACCATAGTATGGTGATGGGACGAATCCTGGTAGTATAAATGTCTCTCTAGGCGGTGTTGGACGCAATGTGGCAGACTGTATGACTCGTCTTGGTGCTTCTCCTCTGTTTTTGTCAGCCATCGGTCGTGATAGTCAGGGCGACATGTTATTGAGTCTCTCCTCACATATGGTAGGTAGTCAGTATGATTCTGTTTTATTTGTGATAGTTTGGATCGTGGAATGTTCTATGATTCAACAAGTCTTGTGTTGCATTTTCCTGGAAGTGGATTGTATCTTGGCCTATTACAGTAATGTAATGTTTTGTACATCAGTCCCTCATGCAGTTTTTACTGCTGGGTGTAATGTGGGCATTTTCCAGAAGATTGGCTTTAATTATCCTTTAATTTTGTTTCAACAATGTTGGTTGATGAAGTCCTCTTTGTAATTGTTTTTGAGATAAGAGAGATGAATGTGTTTTCATTATCAAAAGTTACTTCACTGTTCCCAAAGGGCTAAACCAGTTCAACATTTCTCATATCATTGTTTGATTTCAGGATACATCATGCATATCTGTTCTAGACCGATACTCCACAGCAACTTACTCCTGTGTACTCAACAGTGATGGTCAGTTGATCATTGCAGTTGGGGATATGGACATAAGTTCACAAATAACACCAGAATATGTAAGTACTTTTCAATATGGCCGTTTCACAATAGTGCGCCACCAAGAGTTTGCAACGCGTTGGCCAATCACAATGCGCGAAATTTGTCAACCCCGTGCGCGTTTGGAATTAGGGATCGACAAATTTTGCTCGTTATGAGTGGCCAGCACGTTGCAAAGTCTTGGTGGCGCACTATTGTGAATTGCCTGTATTCCAATGCTTTTCACAGATGGAAAATTAGTCACAAAAATTTTATCTTGGTATAACATCTCTGGTAGTTTGAAGTGTTAGGAGAAATTGATGCATGTTAAGGCAGATGATTTTGGTTGTGTGATCCATTTATTGTCGTACTGGCAATGAGCTTGTTTTGTGTAATCTAATTTTGTCTTTCTGATGAGAAATCAAAGGTGGACTAAGATGGGATTTTATAATAGCTTTAAAAATTGTTAAGTATGCTTTTCCACTGACCTGTATACAACGACATCACACCTTGCTTACACATACGTTTCTCTGTTGCAGTGAGGTGGGATGCAGTTCATCAGTCACCCATAGGAAAACGCACTTGTAAACAAAACATGATGTCATTGGGCGTGTTTAGTCACCTGAGCTGGTCTTATACGTTAGTTTAAGACTGGCAAAGCACATTGACACCAAGTCAATATATGGTGGATTTCCAATGATTTTGTTAGGGAATTTTACTTTCATTTTCCTGAACACCCCGGTCCATTTTATAGCAGTATTCCCTGTACAAGTTGTCCAAAAGAATCTCCTTATATGGACTTGGCATGCATGTGGGGAGCCATGTGCACACAGACTCTTGACCATTCAGAATCAATTAACCTGTCTTGTATCCAGGTGTCAGCATGTGATTTACGCATCGGGCATTATCAGTTCTCAGCAGTCATTATCAAATGTTAATGCATGGTCAAGTTTCACGTTTTTGAATTGGGAGACTGTCTGAGGTATTTATGAATAGAGAATTGATATTTGAAGCAGGTTTATGATCAGTCATAAAATAATGATTTGTCGTTCTGTGGAAATAAATCATTTCCTTGTTACTGACTTGAATTCATACCACCAGGTATCTCAATTTGAGGAAGAGCTACAATCAGCCCCTTTGGTGTGTATTGATGGCAATATACCAACAGAGACCATTGAATATGTTTGCAAATTCTGCGACCAGAATAGCATTCCAGGTAATTAACTGTTACTCACATGAACAAGGTAAACAAATAAAACCTCACTCATTGAATTGGAACCTATGTTCTGTGTGAGAGAAGGTTATGTACATTTATCATCGGCACTGTGTCTGAACTTGTAACTACATCTACATTACCTCCAAAAATGTAGGGTGTTTTGTGTTCCAGTGGCATAATAGCAAGTGCCAGCCTGTCAACCTACCTATCACTAGTGAGAATGAACCAGTTGTAGCAGTGTATCCAATCATGTCTGAGATGAAATGTTATAATTAAAGCCGTGTTCCCATTGGACGTTTTCTTCTGCGAGTACGAGGAAACTTACCGCGACATTCCTTCATGTCAATCTACCAAGCATTCCCACATGGCCTGTTTTTTTCACCGTAACAAAGCGTTTTTTCGCCGTGTTAAGACCAGCTGATTACATTGCCTGCTCTTTACAAATCATGACAAAATCTGTCAAAAAATGACAAAATCAGACGAATTCAGCCAAATCTGCAACAAATAAGATGTTATACCCGTACACAGTGTGTGTATAGCTTTATCCGGGCACGTTTCACCGTGCGTGCGCGGCATGCTGCTGTACAATATGCACAGAAAATGGGAACCCATCCAACCATTTTCGTGTGCTCGCTATCAATCTCCGTGTAGCAGTTGTCTGGTTCACATGTTTAGCATGGTCGCGGTCAATCTACATTGTACGGGAACTGTTCCCATTGGACTTTTTTGCACCCCTGCTAACTTACCATGGCTGCGCGGAAATCTTCCTTGACCCTTTTCAGCCTGTTAGTTTTACACCACAGTCTTGGTAAGTTGACAGGGACGTTAGTTTACTGTGTGTTCCCACTGAATTTAATTTTTAATTCTACAGGAAAGTCATGGTAAGTTAACCAAAAAAAGTCCAATGGGAACACGGCTTTAGCTGTCTTTTCTCCTTGACTGATAAAAGTCTTTATGTCTTTGAAATACAGATGGGTGTATTTTTGAAGGAAGATTCATATGTGTGAATTCTTGACTTCTACAGTGGCACAAAAACTAGCAAAACTTGGCAATAAAATCTTGAGTTAAACTGTTGATTGAATTCCTACTTTCTGGCCTGAGTTTAAAATTTTGACAAGTCACTGTTTGCTTTTTAGGAAAGAAATGAAGAATGTTGGGCATGTAAACTTGTGTAAATTGGAAAAACTCATTATAAGTGGCAAACAACCAAGGACATCATTTGACTATCTAAAGTTGACAGTAAAGCATTAGCTTAAACAAATGAGTTTTGTCACTGACTTAAATAAATGTTTTTACTACTCACGTACCTTCATCAATCTGCAAATATTTTGCATGCAACTAATCTCAACACTCGCTTATATTTGATTGGGAACAAGCAAGATTACCCCCAATGTTATTTTTATTTGATGTTTATTCCTTTGAAGATTCATTTTTGTTATCACTATTGCATTAATATTTAGATATTGTTTTATCATAATAAAATATTTCCTTCCTGACTTTTTATTCAGTGTGGTATGAACCCACCTGTATTGATAAGTCAATCAAGCCATTTCGGTCAGATTGTTGGAAATCTCTGTCCTACATTTCCCCAAATGTGAAGGAGCTGTGCATGATTGCTGACCACCTGAGCGGTAAAGCAGTGACTCCCTTTCAAGGTACATTACAAAATGGTCTGATTTCTAATAAGTTAACTATCTCTAATCAGTCTTGTAGGTGGGTGGTTCTCAAGTAAAATCACTTAGAAATATACTGGAAAGAATAAACTTACAAATTACAAGTTGAGAACTTGCCCTTTGTAACTTTTGACCAAGCCTATACATCAAGGATATGCAGATGACTTCACCGAATTACATGAGAATTGTTATGGACTAGCAACAGAAATGCCTGATACCAGTATGTATAATGATTATAGGCACAAAGCTATTTACAAAATGATGCTCACAAATGCATGCCTGCTCCACAGAATATGTTGAGGGTCAACAGACTCTCTATCTTCTGTGCAGTTCAGTGCAGTGGTATTTATGGAGTTTAGAATGGTATTTGTTTTTTTTCTTAAATGATCGGAGGTAGGCTTCCTGTGAGTTGTTAAAAAGTGTATGAAGATGACAGTTCCCGAGTCCATCCATCCATATTAGTTGGTGCACAAAAATGGAAACAAAAATTCTCATGGACTGATATTTTTACATTTGCGCCCCAAGATCGTTTTACACTACAGGAGAAAATGGACATGAGCATAGAATTGAGCCAGAAGTTATTACATCACATTTACTGCGTAGTAGTCACTCTTGGAGAAGATGGTGTGCTTGTGTGTAGGAATGCCGATGCCCATCACCCATTCCTTGTTGGTTCCACTTCACTGAGGGTAAGCATATATGTGATCCTCTCTGCAAAAAATGTATTAAGTCGTGCCGTGCCAAAACACCTAATGGCCTGTTCTATTTGAAGGGGGCAAAATTTCTTCAAAAATGAGGTTTTGTGTCTTTTCCTTTAATAGCTTCTATAATATTTATATTTTCAGAATGTGTGACTACAAACATTGATACTGATGAATAAAGATGAAAAATTGATCATTAAGTAAGAAATCCTGTATAGCATTGTATTTCCAAGTACTGCTCTTAATGAGCTTTTTCTCGAAAGGTGCTTTTATTGATAACAAAAATATGGATATACAAATGTCTATATATATCCAGAACGCAGCGCACTACAGGGGTCATTTATATATCAAACTGTAGCTTGTGATGTACAGAATCCAGTCATGTCAAAAACTCAGAACCTGAATCTGGGGACTTATGACCCATTTTTCTAGAGCTGGTCACATATAACACCTCATCCCCAGACTCTTAATACCTCGATTGGCTTAGAACGCATCTCATCATGGAATACGAGCACTGTTCCAACTATTTGGCCTCTAAAAAGACTACATCACAGCTGTCTCATTCCAAAAGGAACATGTGCATCTACCCACTGGACTTAAAGTACCCCTTCACCAGAAAAGCTCTAGAGGAGACAGATGGGGGAAATCGTTCACCAGAAACATGCATGGTGGTCGTGTATTTCAATTTGAGATATAGCGCTGAAACTAAAATTATATTGGTTTCATATCTATGATTACAACAGAAATTCGTTATATGTACTCAGCACACGATGACGAATTTTAAGGATGCACATTACACCGCATCTCTTACTTTCACACAGAGCAGATAGCAAGCAAAGTAGGAGGCAATTGCAACTATGTGCATGCTCACTTATACACATATTTTATTTTTCTGGTGCATGGCAGAATACGGCGATTCACAATAGTGCGCCACCAAGAGTTTGCAACGCGTTGGCCAATCATAACGTGCGAAATTTGTCAACCCTTCCAAACGTGCATTGGGTCGACTAATTTCGCACATTGTGATTGGCCAACGCCTTGCAAACTCTTGGTGGCGCACTATTGTGAAACGGCCGTATTGGATGGAAACATTTTTTTTATCAAGGGGAAGTTTCGGTATGTACATACAACTGATCACATTTGAAGTAATTTAAAGTTGAGGCAGAAGTACATTTAAACTGGATTTATTTAGCATACTGGATGCTCTGTAAATATGTAAAATCTGTGGGTGTAGTGCTACAGGTAGTTTAAACTCATCAGACAGGCAATTTAAACTCATCCGACAGGCAATGCAACTTTTCCCTGGATCAGCTGATTTCCTGATCAGTTGAAACTTACGCCATTGAAAATTGAAAACACTGCACTAAGTCATGTAAAGATTAAAATGTCCTGTTTTTTTTGTCAAAGTCCAAATTGCATGCCTGAACAGAGTAAAAATATTTTCCTTGTATCCACTTGATGAGCTGATTATTTTATCTTGGCTTTACCTCAGGAAGACAATATTAAATGGTACCAATTGGAAGGCCAGTGTGCCACACAAAGCAGTCAGTAGTTTTTCAACCAGTGTACAGGTATATTTTCCAAAAACTGGGGTTCTACGACACCAAAAGGACTATGTGTATGTTATGCACTTAGATCACAAGAACAAAAACAATGAAATAACAATGTTGACAAGAAAAGAAATACAATTTGACGGCGTCTTTCTAAGCAGAATTCTATGTACTACTCTCGTGTCACAGTGCAACCACAAGTTTTTATTTACACAGTGGATGTTTATTGTAGGTCCTGGGAAAGCACCAAATTACATTTTTTGTCCCAGAGCTCCACAGATAGTTCTTGGCTCTCAAAAGTCAGGGTTGGTTGACTTGCATAATAGCAAAAATTTTCCACAGTAATTTTGTTTGGATTAAAGTGCTCCATATTCTGTACTTTCCTCCAGAATGAAAATGACATTAGTACGTACTTTTTACAAACTGACCTCAATGATTTTTAATGTTGTGGTCTTATTTTGTGTGTTTTTCCCCTGTAGGAAACCACCTCCAGGAAGTCTGCCGTGCATTACCCAGCATGCACTGCTGAAAAGATGGCCAGTGTGTCAGGAGCTGGAGATTGGTCAGTTGCGATGCACACATAAATCAGAACTTGCAGAACTTAGTAGAAGTAAAGCATTCTCAGATTGGCTGGTTTTAAAACAACATCTGAATTTATCACATATTGCATACATGTACTATGTGTTAAATTATCTTGATTGAAAGTTTTTACACCAGTAAATCATACATGTTTTGTTCAAATAGAAGTCATTGATAATTAATATTTGATCTTGCCAGCCATGCAAGTCGACCAAATTGACACCTGTTGCCAATTCATATTCCATTTACAGTCATTCAACCCTTTTCATGGATGGCCACTGGACATATCGTCCTCTTTGGGTTGTTGCTTTGTTGCAGCCCACAGCTCAGGCCTGCCATAAGATGACGCTCAGGTGCAGCTAAACAGTTAGATTTATCTCCAACAAAATCCACTTCTAACACAAATGTGAAGGAAAAAGTTGGCATGCTAAATGGGCCAGAGAGGAGTAACGGTATTGTTTGACCTGCAGCTGTATGCTACAGGTCCAATTACTGCACATAGTTTGGCATTATAGAGACAATCTTAGGTATGCTCTCAAGTGTCTCCTTATTTTTGAGATATAGTTTCTTCTGGTAATGAATGCTTGTGTTTCAATTGTTGCTTTATATATCCTTGTCTTTTCAGCTTGGCCGGAGGGATGCTTGCAGGCATTGTTCGTCAAGCCTCTGCTAACGAATGCATGCTGTCTGGCTTGATTGCTGCCAGAGCTTCCATTCAGTCCTACCTCACAGTGCCACCAACCATATCGACATTGACGCAATCAGGTCTTCCCTCATGGCAGTCACGACAACTCCAGATTTAGCCCCATACTACTCACCGAATGATTTTTTTTTAAATGTAGACTTTCCTACTCTACATTTTGAGATTCGTTACTGTCCAAGTCTGAGCTGGATGGGAGGTGGCTTTTTGAAGAATTGAACCCTTTTTATATGACATCACCTAAGTATGGCACACATCCAGCAGATTTCAATTACTCATTTAAATCTGTTGAAAATATTCCATGCTTTTATTACAGTTTGGCGTTCTCTACTGATAACTATATTGGCAACATGGGATCCTGGGTGTTGTCAGGATTTTTTAAGGGGGTGGGCAACCACTCATCAGTATGAAATTGACAAACCATCACTGGCACAAGGGGTGAATATTGAGGGACTTCTAAAGTTCGTTGGCCAATCTCCTCCTTTTGGTATACATGTACCTCACTCATTTCCATTTTCCCCTTTTTACATTCCATTGTTTTCACTGCCTTAAAAGAGAACATTTACATTATGCAGGTATGAGATTTTCTAATCTATTCAAATCAATACTATAATGACTGAAATGTTCAGTAAATATTTTAACGAATAATTCATGTGTATTTTTCAATATTTTAGATTGTGAATACGAATATACATTGCTTTTTTCGATAACTGTAAGAACTGACATGACATTGGTGTGGCTACTGGATAATGAATCACTTGTACATATGTATCAGATGTATATTCTCCTGAATGTGTTGCCCTGCTAAGGCTGTAGATGGGCCCACATTACTGTCTAAAATCTTCTCTTTTGAGATTAACCACTTTGTGCCGGGGCATTTTTCAATGTTCATGATGCTGGGCCGGCATGACTATCATTTTTTCCGTTTTCAAAATCCTTTAAAAATTAATTTCATTTAACGGTCGTTTATAGCCGCACCAAGTAATCTTTAGGCACTACTGTAAGTTGACAGGTGGCCTTCATTGATGCCCGAGTATTTCAGCCAGGCCAGCAGCCTTGTAAACAGAGCCCAGATTGTGAGGTGTTGTGTAACTGTCTTTTGTTCACGAACCTGGCTCAGTGCACTGCTGACCTATTTTCAATAGGGGCCAGATTAGCGTGCAGCGGTGCTGTGTTGCTCATCACTGCGGTGGTGGAGAGCTTTTGTCCCCGGTGGTAATCCGCTCGCTCTCAATGCCCCAAGCCCTGGTATAGGGTTTCAAAACAACGCTGGATTATCACCACTTTTGAGAGTGAAAAATGCCGGTAATGCCCAGCAGCCTGGTCTTTTGTTCGGAGTATGGTCTTTTGTTACAGGGCGCTGTTTCTTTTGTCTGAGTTCGGAGACCCCGGCCACCCATATAAACCACACGTCTCTGATCCCGGAGTCCCCGGCAGGAAGTGGTTAATACACCGGATGTAACTAAAATTTGATCGTTGTAAATGTTCCTTCTTGCTTGTTTCCATTTCTTTATTTTCATTTCTTAATAAAAGCCATGCTTTTTGGGGGACCATCTCACACTAGGAGGGGGAGGGGGGGAAGATTACACCACTCCCCAAGAACTTGACTGTCCCTTGTCATGTTTTATTCACACACTTGAGTTGAATTCCCGTCAGTGCAGCTGTAGTATAGACGATAATGACTGGCTGAGTTCCAACTTTGTGGATGGTCCATCATCTGCAAGCTGGGGACATGGCAGCCAATATCACCATGCAGGTATGTGTATACACATGTATACTGTGTGAATCACGAGGGGAATAAGACTGAATTAATAACCAACAATAAATGTGAAGTTTCAACTCAGTCTGGTGCTTGATTTTTGTTTTAACAGTCGTGCTCCTGGCCACACTCGTCAACCTGCATGCATTGGTATCAATGGAAAACTAAATTTTGGACTGACTTACATGTATCTCTGTAAAACAGGCTTTGTACGAGAATGACTTGTCTGATTTTCACAAAGCTAGTGTCAAAATGACGACTTGACATTACTGGACAAACTCCTGAAGGCTTGGTAAATAAGGGGGGCTTCGGCCCCCTCCCCCCACAATCTTGTCTCGCCCTCCAAAAATGCAAAGGAAAGTTACAAAGGCTGGAAAATATTGGATTCACAGTAGCCAAAGATCACTAACGTTATGTGCAAAGGGTCTAGCCCCCCAAAACAAAATTGGCTCTAGAACTGCAACTGTACCACATACTTCTAAGAGGACTAAAGAATTCTAAAGAACAAGATATTGTTTATATTTAACCACTTCTATCGAAGCCTGTGTAAACCTGCAACAATTCCTTGTGACAATATAGCCCTATTCGCTGATGATATTAGTATTTATCGCAGTAAACGGTGGGATAGAATAGGGGTCTTTGGTGCATATAAAGCCACTGCTCTCATCAGCAGATGAGGTTTCCTGAAGGCAGGTTACTTGTTACCATTGTTTTAATTCTTGAGAGGAATATCTCCCACAACCAGGAATGGAAAGATTGCGCCTTAAGCTTTCTTGTTATCCAATGTACGTAACTCGTACATCCGCCATTGTCCCTACTCATAGCATGTGATGGCCATGTAGCCTGCTTGTGATGATCCCTAATCTACAATGTATCCCAGCATGCACTCCGTTAAACACCACAATACCCTTATAATACATTTGGAAATTTAAACCTGTGTAATCATGATAGCCGCATGTATTGATGTACCCAATATATCCCAGCATGCACTGCAGCAAACACTGATACAAACACTGATACATCAGTACATACATTGTGTGGCTATCATCATGTATCACGATTAAACAGGCCAATACGGGCGTTTCACAATAGTGGGCCTCCAAGAGTTTGCCATGCGTTAGCCGATCACAATACACGAAATCTGTTGACCCAATGTGCGTTTGGAAAGGGTCGAGAGATTATGCTTGTTGTGATTGGCCAACATGTTGGGAACTCTTGGAGGCACACTATTCCAAATATATTATGCCGGTATAAATACATCTGCAGTCGTAGGTGGTGTACCTAGGCTTGTTAACCCCTTCACGCCGGGACGCGGCTAGATACGCCATAAAAATTGAGATCCTCAGCCCGCTTTTCAGCTATTATTCTCGGCCCACGCTCAAGCGAACACAGTGAAAGAAGGCAGACCCTGGCTCTTGTATTTATGGTAATTGGCCTTTGTGTGTAGCCCAGAAATGAAAAGACCGAATTTGCATCATAATCACCAGCTTTACAATAGTTCCCACTTTGAAAAGAGGCAACCGGAATGTGGAAGGGTGAGTAGAGCCGCATGCCATCGAACAATCAGCCTTTTCGCCGTGCAATTCAAAGCGTGCTGAGCACGCAGGGCCACAAACCGAGAATTTGCGGTTTAGCAGGTGGCCTTCGTGGCCAAGTGAGGCTGGAATTCTTGGGAGTCGGCTTTCGGAAAGAAATTCCCGGCGCGAAGGGGTTAACCGGGTAATAGGGATTACACACATTGAATCAAATAGATGTTACGAAGACCAAAACATGGACAAATTTTTGCATCCACAACTCGGTACCAACCTTCCTTATGCAAGCAAAAGAAACTGTCTCCATAACTCGGAAGGCCACCCACAATACATGTGAAGAGTAGATCGGTTTTGTACACACTATCTAGAACGATCATGGAGGTTGACATTGAGGGACCTAAAGCATCATAAATGACCTACTCTATATGTGTTAATTCACTGTAATTACTTCACATGTATTCACATGGTCCATGGTCTGATGGTGCCGGCAGAATGCAAGCAAGGCTTTCTGGTGCACAAACATGCGGTCTGTGATACATGCACGCGCACATTTGCCAAGCTGTCACGTTAATGTCTATCCGATGAGTCTGTATCGGCCTTGGCAAAAATCTTGCCCAGTAAGCTTCCGGAGACTTTGCCTGAGCGTGATTTAACATCACCCACAGGATGCTGTTTATACTGATGTATTCGGTGGGTCCATTCTTTCCCTTGCTTCCTCTTCTTGCTCTCCATTCTTCCAAGCCACTGACTCTTCTCCACATTTTTCAAGAAGACGCTTGTCTCTCGTTTGGCTTGCACGATCTCGGCGCGCATGCGTTGTTTCTGAACCTGCTGTTCGTACTCTAGCTGTCCTGCAAGATGTGCCCACTGAAACCGATGCAGGTACTTGATACTCCACAAGTCGTCGTAATATCGACTTCGTTTCCGTCCACTCACCCTGGTATTGTTTAAGGTCAGTGCCACTCTCTTGGCAATCTTCTTGTCCTTAAATTCAACCCATCCCTCCGAGAAGCACCGAGCCTTGTTCCCACCTTTCTTCTTCCGAGTGTGACGAGTGTATTTATCTGTAAAATAGACAAAACACGTTTACCTTTAACTGTCCACGCTTTGTCACTGTTGTGCTTCTATTTTCATAACATTTTGCATGAATGGAACTGCAACTACACAAGGGTGATATCAAGCACAATGGCATTAGTGCAATCAATCCAGAAATTAATGGCTTGTGTCAATCAACTCTGATGTGAGTGGCCAATTTTGGTGGCGCAACTCAAGTCCAAACACATAAACAGGTACAAAATGAACATGTTAAGTGAGTTACTACAGGTACATGTGCATGTAGATGTATCAACTCCACCCCTTAAACACTCATAATACTCAACTCATCAAACTACAAATGTACAATTAGGGTCAGCTATGTCAGGAAGTTACCCATGTTCTTGAACTTCAGGTTACTGCCAATTTCTGGCCTCTTGTGGACTTTCCTCCCACCTTGTGGTTTAATAAGGGACTGCCCATCCAGCTACTCCGGAACGAGTCTTTAATTTTTCAAATTCATAGTTTTTTATAGTTCATGTGCTGTGTTCAGGCAGGCCATTTCTAAAGCGCTTGAAAAAACTTAATGGCTAAGTCCTGCCTTAACAAATGCTTAAATGCCTATAGATACATCTAGAATAGGTTTATATGTTGAAATTTGGGCTCGCGTGTCAATAGGCCTATTTGTTCAAATACAATTATATGTGCCCGAATTGACTTGAGCATTTACGGCTGTACTTACTTTGACACTGCTCAAGCCAAGTCTTTTGTATAATTCAATACAAGGAAAGAAATTGCAGGCTCATCACAACACTGAAAGAAAAGGAACAAATGTCACTGAAGAGTTATACATTTGTGAAAAGAATGACGAACCTTCAGGTTGTAGAAATGTCCTTCCGAGCTCCCCGTATTGGCCAAATATATGCTGAATGCGTTTAGGTTTCATGAAGGCTGGGATCCTACTGAGGTAAATTATTCCTGGCTGTGTTTCGCGACCGGTCTTCGGAGGTTTCTTTTTCCTGACTTGTTCTGAAGCATGCTCATCCATGTTGGGACCAGGCACATGTGGCGGATCAACTCCCACAATGGTTGACGCTGTAGAATCCATGATTTCAGCTGATCGGTTTTTGTCTGCGGTACATTCACATCACAGCCAGACACAATACTGCAGCGACATAGTGAAGAACAAAAAGCAAAGTACAATTACACCTCCATGTACACGTACTAAAGTACGGTACGTATGGGTACCAACTGTCTCAGTCCTAGAATGATCAGCAATTTCAGTAATGCCTGACAATTTGTCCCAACCTTTATTTTTGTCCTTTTCAAATGCAAATTCCTAGGTCTATGTTGTAGTAATAGCAAAAGTTTCTGAAAAATGTCTACTGGTATGTCACCACAAAATCACTGTACTGGTGGCATGCTTTACCAAGCTAAGACTTGCTGGTGAAAGATTTCCGTCTACGGACGCAGCTTGACACCCTGTGCACAAACCGCATGAGACTGGTCTGAAACATTCTGTTTTCTAAGTAAACAACTTGGTGTTTTCCCTCCTATATTGAACTTTCTGGACATGTTTTGCTTTCTGATGGCTAATAGGTCACTGCAGGGAATAATTACTGACGTCTGTATATGGAACTCTTTCCCTTGCTGATGACAGCAAGGAGTACCCCTAAAACTGGGGCACCTCAGACAGGTGAAATGAGGAATCCCGTACTACCATGACTACATACATAACATGTACATGTATTGTTTGATACGTACACATAAAACATGTGTACATTCTAGGGGTGCAAGCTGGCAAGCAATCAAGTTTTTAAGAGGCAAGAAATCAGACATTTCGCAAATCTGCAAATGTGATGTTTACTTCAGGGTGGTATGCCGATCTGGCATGGTAACATTATTAGCTAATTTAGTTATTACATGAGAACGAGCGGAACACAGACACACTACACAACTCTGTGTTCCACGAGCACGAGCATGATAACGAATTTATCTTCAAGCAAACTTGATGCCCACTGGAGATGCTGAATGAGGGCCCTATGCGTGCAAAGGTGCCACCTTCGTACAGTAAATTTTGCAGATGCGTGTTTTCCTAATAGCACCTTGCGTAAGAACAAAGCATTGTGCAGGGTTGATGTGAACTGTTACACATTGTACATATATATCACACTGTTTGTTGCCGTGGACATCATGGATCAACCAATCAGAATCCAACCTTCTGACTTTGGGTTCATGTTTAGTCTGGATTTTCAGAAAAATGACATGCACGGGCATATGCCATAGCCCTGCTAAACATGTACATGTTCCATAAAAAGACATCACTTTACACCCCAATGACAGATCCAATATAAAATTCGAAAAAGTGGAGCACTGACGCTCCACTCAGTGTTGTCTGACATTAATATAAATACATGTAACTCATGTAACTCGCGACAAGATAGATCACCAACTAAGGTTGTGAACATGCATTATATTCAGGTACATTGAAATTGTAAGTGATCACTGCGTTCAGGATCCGCATCTGTCGATGATGATGGCAAAAAATGAATCATTATGTCAACTTCGGGTCAGTAATATTCCACATACCGCACTTCATTTCCAGTAACTTTGAGTACATTTGACTCGCACTCTGACGCCGGATCATTCAGAAAAATTCCAGTGCCGTACCGTGACCGCAGAGTACATGTACGAAGTGTTCACGACCTGAGCTGCGCTGCTGTTTTTGCCGGTAGTCTAGTCTCGTACGTCCATGTGGTCCAATTGTAACAGCGCCACCTTTAGTTCCATTCAAGCAGGCTCGAGCGGCATCAATTTTCGACCAATGTTTGTCTTGCCTGGTGCTCATGATATTGACAGTGCCAATATATTTTGTGAACACATTACCTGGGAAAATCAAGCAGTCATTAGCAAAATTGCTTTACTCGAACTTGTAGTCGTGTTTTGACCATCGACGACGACTGGGACCTACGCCCGCCCCCTCTCTATCCAGCCGGTGTTGTGGTTGTGAACTTGTGAGTACTAGGTTTCTCATCACACCGAGTGGGGTCCACTGTGATTCCGGTTCTTGTGCCTTTGGTCATTGGGTAAACCATGGAGACCCAGGCCTCCTTCTTCCATGGTTAAACCACCGCACTCTGCAGATGTTCATGACATTAATAAATGCGCGTGTACTAGCTGGAGCTGAGTAACATGCCCCCATTTGCTGTGTTACCCACAGTATACTAGTGCACTTGTTACGCCCCAACTATAGCATCAGTCCCAACTAGCGTGCTATAGTTGGGCCGGCCCAACTACAGCACACAGGTCAGCATGTTCCAAAATCATTACTGTGTACAATGTCATGTCACAGATGAATTGCCATATTTTAGATGAATTGTAAGTGCAAGATTCGTAAACCTAGGTAAGGTTGAGAATTTTTCTATAGAAATTGGTCAACAATAGTTGCACCAGCCCAACTGCAGCACTACAGTTGAAATTGTCCCAACTATAGTTGGGAAAGACACTATAAATGGGGCGTAACACTCATGTCTCATCCGTACGAAAGCCCAGGCATTAGTGCCATGGCAAGCATATGTTCACAATTTGTTATTACGGGTTATTTATTTCGTTATTATGGTTTATTAATTCGTTATTATGGATGATTTAATTCATAGTGTACATTCTTTTCCTTTGATATACTTTGATAATATATTTAACCGTTCATCACCGAGACCCCAATTTGTAAGATTTTGTTAAATTCATGTCGCAAATCAACAAAACGTTCGTATGTTGAGGGTATCTCCATAACATTTCCACATGTGCTACTGATTGGTCTTTTTTTCCATACCTGTCAATTAGGTAAATATCACATTGATAACATTCACTGGAAGTACACCAGATCCAACAAATAATCCGTAATGACGAATTATGAACATGTACTTGCCATGGCACTAATGGGCTTTCGTACATCCGACCCCATTTTCGGGTCAGAGTCTTTATTACTCTCATCATATCTTGTGGTTGACATTCATTCAGGAATCAAAAAAGTCAATTAAAAGCACATCGGAACAGACTTTAATTCAACATAGACAAAATGGGCGTCCCAGTCTTCCTGTGTACTCTTTTTACCCCCCAAATGTCAACTGTGCGGTACATGCAGGCTTATTAAGTAAACTTTGTTGAAATTGGGGGATGTTAAATCTTGGAATGAAAAAGTCGCAAACCCGAACATGAGGTCTGAGAATTGAGTTGATTGTACAGCAGAGGGCATGCACTCGGTTCCACCGTAAAATGCATGATGAGCATTATTATTAGAGGCTTACCACTATTACAAGCAGGATAAATATTATCATCAAGCAAACTTGAATTCTCACTTCTGATTGGTCGATCCATGGCAACAGACAGTGTGATATATATATAATTGTATTGCAGGGTTCATACCAACCCTGTGTAATGCACTATTCTAACCAAATGCAATGTGCTATTTTGACGCTAAAAGCAAAACCCACATCTAGAAAATTTACCATACTTTAGTGCACATAGTAATATCTTTACTGCCAATCAAGTTTGCTTGAAGTTGAAGATAAATGCGTTATACTCGCCCTCATGAAACATGGAATAATGTACTGTGTCCTGGTATACCTCAAGGCCGTTCACTTGTGCTCATATGAAAACTAATGCAGTCAGGTAGTGGCTTCTCTCACGGTGCCTTGGAGGACACTCAACAAATCAATATGAAGGCAGCATTGTTAATTTTGTTCTTTCTGTTTAAACAAAATCTGAGGACTTTTCAACTACATTAAATTTTAATGTCTGCACCAAACTGTTCTGTATTCAGTGACATTTTAAATAGATACGTACATGTTCTTGAGCAGATGGAGGATGTACTGTTATCAACATACATGTATTCAGATACAGAGCAGCCTTGATAACTGTGGATATATTTTTGATTGGATATGGCACATTTGAATGTGTGAAGGCTGGAAAAAGTGAGCCATAATCTTCCGCCGGACTGATACTCAACTTCAGGCAGGATAGAAAAATAATTCTAGCGTAATGTATCAAGATCCTGTTTGCCTCCAATCTCTCTTGACTATCACATGATGGAAGTGGTGGTGGGCATCTCTGGTGAGATGCAACCCCCACATAAATGTATCTTCAAAAAGAAAAAACAATACATGTACTTTTTTTCATTAACTGCCTCCTTCTACTGGTACCTTGATATAAATTTGTCATTGTTAACACAGGCCTCTATAGTTCAAACAAGCACATGAAAATTCCAACATGGAGATTTGAAGTCGCATGTAAAATCATAAGGTTACAAGGAAGAGAGTATTTTTGTTGATTTTTTTCCATCAACTTGTTGAGCAATATTTATACCTTTTCTAGAAGTAAATCTTTCCAGGTCACCATAGTTGGAAATCCTAGGAGGGTTTAGGTTATGTCCAACTTTTCTAGAACCAAAATGTAGAAACTTTATAACAGGCAGTGTGATACATGTACATAAGATGATCTATTTCATGAACAGTGCTTTGAGTGTAACTTCTTGTTCGACCAAAATCTCCTTCTGGCCTGATATCCCTCGCCCACCTCCATCCCCACACATCCAACCCTCCATCCCCCGCCCCGTTCAGTAGTCACAGAGGTTTTTTTTATGAGCAGCTTTCATTTAAACTACTTTATCACACTTTCCTTCTGCAACCAGTGAAGTGTAGAAAGAGCAAGGCTTATGACTATCAAAACAGGTGATCGTCCACGAACTTATCCTTCGATTCCTACAGGCATAAGCGTGAATGAAAGCTGACAAGATATATGGCTTGTTATACAGAAGAGAAGAGAATTCTTATTGTGGGTCTTGTATGCCTTGACATCATCAATGTGTTAGACGATTACCCACTAGAAGATACAGATAGTAGGTACGTACTGTATATATTTAATATTTATTGGCAAGGAGAGTTTTATTCATAAGTCAGTGAGTGAAAAACCCAAGTTGAATTGCTAGTCATTGCAATGCTACAAGGTTTTCAAATGCCCTACAAAATGGGCATGATAAATGTAATTCCTTATCATTTAGTTAGAAAAGAAATCAGATGCGCGAAAAATGTGCCCAACCTGCACTTTTCCCAGAATGTTGCTAGTGAATACTAGCTGTCAAAATACCAAGTAAAAGTCACGAAATTGCTGACATATGTTGGGCAGACACAAATTGAGAATGATCAGGTCATATCCTTCATCCCCTTTGCATGATAAACAGTCATCCCACTTCATCTGATCCCTCCCAGTAGTCTGCCAGTCTTTTGAGGGCAAATGGAAGAGGTTTCCCCCAACTAATTAAACAGTGCCTCTTGTCCTCTGATACCCCAGTATTATTGTGGTACTTCTTAAAAAATCTTTGTTAACTGGCACGAGAGCAAATGTTTTCTTTTTCTGTTTGTGTGTCAGAGTTAATGATCAGTTGTGGGAGAGGGGCGGTAATGCAGGCAATACATCGGTTGTACTGTCGCAGCTTGGAGTACAAACTGAATTCATGGGTACCTTGGCAGATAATACTCTGTCACAGTAAGTATTGTACCAACACATTGACTGTTCTTTTGATCTTCTTTGATCAGTGTCTCGTCATTTGCTGTCTCATGTGAGTTTCAGAATGCTTTTGTTTTGCAGTTCAATTTGAAAATTAAATTACATTTTGTGACAAGGAGTCCTGGAAGGTAGTTAAACTGTTGTGTATAATTTTGTTTACGGCATAGTTACTCTCCAGATAAATAGCTTAGAACACAACACACAATTCTTAACTTATGGTTGGGAAACGTACTGTGAAGTATTAGAGTGGATAAAATCTGTAATAGGCCACTGCAGCCCAGTAGGCCACTGCAGCCCATTAGGCCAGTGGTTATCCACTTTCATTGAGGCAACTGAGAATATTTCTGTTCCCCCGGATAGGATGTTAGTCCATTGCACATTGCTTCTGACCTATAACCATTACCTACACCTATCTGGTTTGTGAGTGTGACATTACTTCAGTTTAAACCCCGTCCACTGCACATAGAGTTACATGGAACCGGACGTTAACTTGCAACCTTAGCGCGCATCCAATGGAAGCTGGCAGTCAGTGGTGCATGCATGTGGATGACAAAATTACTTACAATCGGGATACTCCTAGGTGGAGAAAGGCAAATGGCCAGCAGCTGAAGTGAACCCTTTTCCTCCTAAGCAGGAGTCAGGAAACTAAACCACGAGGTCTCCCTCTCCCACCAAAAAGTCTTTGTTTGGACAATGAGTTTCAAAAAGCACATGCGGAACATTTACAAACAATCAGCATATTTCTTGGAATTCTAATGATGACTTTTTGTATTAAATTTGGATGATAATAGCGGTAATTAGGAATCGTATGTTCTCTGTCATTTGTTTGAGGGGCAGTTGGTGTTAAAAAAGTAAAGTTTTGCTAAAATTGATGAAAATGTGGCACCCTGCAACATATCGGTACTTGTTCTTAAAGATATCATGCTGACGAACCTCAAGATGCTCTGAAGCATTTTTAGAACAACTTGAAGAGGGAGAATCAACACTTTATACAAAACCAATTCATTTTCTTGGAAGGACCTAATGGTTTCATGCTACACCTAGTTTGGATCGAGGGAGGGGGGGAAGGACCACATGGCATGCCCCCCAAGCCTTTTTTTTCCAAATAATGGTAGAAAGGCAATTGTGGAGGGGTCCGTTTCCTTTGCCTTTCTATATTGTGTAAAAAGCTCCAAAATTTAGCTTCAACCCTCATATTTTTGGGGCTATTGCACAGGCTGTTATTACAGTGTCTGCCCCTAAAGACCGTATTATCTCAGTGCTGACTGGTGCCACTGGTTGAAATGTGATGGCACCTGCACAAAACACAGCTTCATGTATGTCGTAAACCATTGTGTGGAAAAAAACAGCAAGCTGAACAAAAAAAATAGGCAGGAATGTCAGCAGAATCACATCAAAGGCCTTCAAAACTTGGTTGTTTAAATAGAGGTTTAAATGCATGGTTAAATTTTGCATGCTTTTATGGCCCAAGCTTGTGGTTATGGCTGTTACATGGCTTTTCACTTCTTTATGATTTTTTTCTTTTCAACTGATTGTACTTGCGATTTCGCTCAGGAATATTAAAGTACAGCTATTACCAAAAAAATGATTGATTGTACGTCAGGTTGATGGTAGAAGACTTCCAGCAATATGGAGTACACATTGATCACTGCATATATCACAAAAACTGCACACCTCCCGCCTCATGTATTATCATCAACTCATCAACAGGAACAAGAACCATTCTACACAACAACAGGTGGGTGTAAATCAGTTGTGTACCCATCTGCGTATGGTTCCTGTTGGTCTTGCCAAACAGTCTTTTAAAATGTCTTGTGGATCATTGGTACATTAGGCAACACATATCAGCTGCCAGTTTCGACCTGTTAGCCACAAAAATTGGCTCAGGGTTTGGAATTCATGTGTTCAAGGTTTACTTTGCTCTAGGTTGATGTAAATCAAGACCATAGAGAGCCCTCAAGAAATTTGACCAATGTGTATGTCCCTGTCTGACAAGTAAAGGGCATCATTCATATGTGGTTTAGATTAGATTCTGGGATGGAGCTCTGATTATTTCCATTAGTGCTCCTACATGTGGTACACATAAACAATTTTCCATGATATGAAGGTGGACGTGGCATTGCATACTGAGTTTGGGTAGTGCTCAGTTGTCGAGACAGGCATGTACATGTAGCATTAAATAAAAATCCACGAAAGTGAACAAAATTGCAAGTATTTTAGTGGCAGTTGGTTGTAAAGGCACAGATCTACATTTTAGGTCAGAATATTTTTCGTAAGTACCTCATTCAGATCCCCTTTTAACCTGTCCATCTCGTGCTCTGTGTTTTTAAAATGCAATTTAAGCAACACTTGTGTACTCGTTAATACTTCAGCTTGGACCAGGATCACTGGCAAAGCCCCTACCAATCACAAACAAATTATTACTGAGTTTGTAATTATTTCATCCCGTGCACATTTACAAGTGTACCTTCTAGAGCTTTTTACAATATCCTGATGTGTGCCACTCACTTGAACATTGACAGATTTTGCGAGTCTCTCCTAGATTTACCCCTTACATGTATTTTATTTCCTGGAATTTTTCTTTGTGTGTCTTTTTGATAACGTCTACACTGCAGATCTCTCCCGGAACTGATGTATGAAGATTTTGAATTGTTAAACCTGAAGAACTACTCTTGGATCCATTTTGAGGTTTGTTCTACTAGTCAACTGCCTCTCACGTTCTGCTGCAAGTACCACACTTCTGCACTAGCAAAGTCCTGTGTTTGTAGGCGCTGCACAAGTGTAGAATACTTCTACTCTTGACACTCACCAGTGCAGGGAAATGCTGCGTGCACATTACTGTCATGTCACCTTGTGCTGACAGACAACGGATACCTTTCTGCCGTCTTGAGATAAGAGTGTATCCATGTACTCCCACTTTGATGGGGAACTCCACCCTCCTCTGCCACTCGATCTGACTATCCACTTCTGTTAGTAAACCAGACTTGTAGAGCAAAATGCTAGTAACCGAAACGTGGAAGTAACATTACATGTGTTATCCAAACAACAATTGTGTGATACGGGTGCCATACTGATAGGTGAGGCGTACAACGATAACGCATTTAAGAAAGCATGTTTTCCTTTGAATAAAGCAAACGTCACGGCTACAGCTTAGTTTATTCCATCAAGAAACAGACCCAAAAAGGGGAGGGGGGGGCTTGTTGAGAACAGAGAAAAAAGAGCCCTATAGGGGTTATGTACAGCAGCCATCTTCCCAGTCAGTGTTTTTCTTCCACACAGGGATACACATGAGTAGACCTTTTGTGCATGCCGCCCCCAATAACAAAAGCACTGACCGGGAAGATGGCTGCCGAGCATAACTTCAATGGGATTTGAATCACGGACCGTCCTCTGTATTAAGCCTTTCCCTTACTGCACTACACAAGCCACCTCCTCTAAATTCCTGTTTCCCCTTTTGTGCCCCAAACCCAACATCACCATGCTGAAGCAGCCGCTTAACTTATAATATATTACTGGCTTGCTTCAAACAGTGGCATTTTGCTTTAAAAGCCTTGTTCATTGACAGTGGTGGGTTGTCCGATTGGGTGCCCGAAGGACTGTAGTACGAGTCACACATACAGTGCTGGAGTTGTACCCTTTTATGGCATTTCGCTTGCTGTGTTTGATGAGTGCTCTCTGTGAACTCATGAGAATTTCTTTAGATGGCCCAAGTGAAACCTGAATTCATGATCTCCTTCGATAGTGCAGACATATTACCACAGAGCTTACTAGGGTTGGCTTCATATGGCTGGTTTGAATCTAAAACTGGTTCAGCAGCGAGTTACTGCAAAGAATAACTTTGGATTAAAGTGTTGCACGAGGAAAGCAAAGCCCTAAGTAAAGTTAAGTTTTCTAAAGTAAATGTTTAAGCAAAATTGCTAAAACAACGAAGATGCTAAATGTAGAGGTTTTGATCTTTGTTTCATTATGTTTTGATGGAATAGGGTCGAAATATCCAAGAAGTGCTGAAAATGATCGACAGGGTCATCATGTACAACAGAGAGTTAACAGAATCTAGTGAACGTATTCACATATCTGTGGAACTGGAGAAACCCAAGCTGGAAGTTTCCATTCACAAAGTGCTGCCCAAGGCTGATGTGGTATAGTTTTAAGGTTTTTCTTTTGCCTAGTGGGTGTACTCTACTGTGTGTAATTGATTGATAGGCGCTTAATGTGGGCACCAGGTTTACTTGTGTCTAGTGTGCCTATTCAAACTAAGTGTAATTAATTGATTGGTATGCAGTTAATGGATGCACCGTGCTCTGTGGAGACTTATGCCAGCATAGAGAGACTGGCTACGTTATGCCACTTGTTGGATCCAAAAAGAATGGAGAATAAATGGCATTGAGTGTATCCCTTGTTGCTTGTGACTTCCACGAAAAACGATAAATGGGAGAACAGGATATGTTGAATGGTTCATCAGTTGAGTTCATTTCTTGTTTCTTTCCAGGTTTTTTTTAGTAAAGATGTAGCTAAGGCATTTGGATGTCAAAATGGAGAAGAGTGTGTGCTCAAGTTCAAAAACGATGCCAAACCAGGGTAAGTCGTCTAAACTTTTGATGATAATCACGTATTCATGTGTGCGAGTAGTTGACTTTGTGAGATCATTTGCAACTATGCAACCCTACTTTTTAGCCCATTCTGTCATTTTAAAAACACGATTTTTCAAGACCTTTCAAGATTCTGATCCTTTTACTGCTAAGGGATGTGTCTGCTCCTTTGACATGGAAACGGACCGTAGGTGGGAACTCACCGGTTAAGGGAGAAGTTTGTTGGCGCGGGGTGTGCTATACGTACATGTACAAACAATTTATGTTGGAATGTATGATCTTCACATGTAGAAAAACTCCCTACAAGCCTGTCTCTTTGTCAGTGAGGGTGCGCTTCAACTCACGTTTGATGCCACACTTGAAAGCAGGCAGCAGAAAGTCTAATGTACTATGCGATCCGATGATAGAGAAATATTCCAAAATATAGAAATAGTTTGAAACATTTTGCAACATTGTACAATGTATAACATTGTACATGTAATGTATAACATTGTACATGTATTGGTTGGGGGATACTCTTATCAAATCCATGAAATCAACGGACGTGAACGAAGCACAATACTCATTTACATTAGCAGCTCATGCCACATGGATCACTCAAAAAGGATGCACCTGTGTCATGTGTGTGGTATTCAAACTTTCCATTATGAAATGCCGTGCGTGCGTTTTCATTGCCTGTTATGCACCGACATGATAACATTGAATGCATTTGTTCTTGTGCATTTAACATGGTGTCCCTTCTCTCCTTCTCTCACAGCGCTGTAATAGTTTGCGCCTGGGGTGAGCTGGGGGCCTGGGCGATAGGATCTGATGACGAAGCCGTCCATTCCCCAGCCTACCCCCCTGCCAAAATACGAGATACTGTGGGTGCGGGAGACACTTTCAACGCTGGAGTCATTTACTCCATATCCAGGGGCCAAAGTGTACTGCATGCTGTCACACAGGGTTGTAAAGTAGCTGGAGAAAAAATTGGACATCAAGGTTTCAGGATTGGGACTGACCTCGCCACTTAATAATAATCTCATTTGTAGTACTTGTTACATGAACCCCAAACTGCTTCAGATGCAGCATGGTTCGACAGGTGTAAGTCTGGTGCACTGTGTTGCACTGGGTAATCAACAGCAGCTGAACATGTTGAGGCTATTTCATTTTCACAGTTATCCCACCCATACAATTTCATTTTGCGCGCATATATGCACTTTAATCCTATTTCTTTCACCTGCATTCAAAACGTCACTTTAACCTGTCATTGCCTTTTACATATACATGTATGTACAATCAAATTAAGATTCATCAAAGAGGAAAGCATTTTTAATCTATTTAGCGTTTTAGTTTCTGTATAATCTTTCCCAAACTTTAAGTTCAATATAGATGGGATTGAGCAAATCAATTTTGAAAGCGTATTGCATTGTTCTTCCACTGTGGTCTGTGTGATAACTTAATGATCATTGTCTTGATTTGAATAATCATGTCTTTGTATCACTACATTGTTATTTGCTCCAGTTGGGAACAGACATGAAGTCAAGGCAGGAAGCATTTTCTTGTGATTGAGTTCAGGGGCTGTTCCTTTTTTTTTATTTGTCTACAATATTTTCAAACAAAATGTTTACAGTTGGAAAAATCAAAAGCACACTTTTAACACCAAACAAAGAAAATTTTGCTTTCTTAGCCAAAACATTTAACAAATCTTGCCTGTTTTATTTCATTGGAAACCCACCTTATGCAAGCATGGTCAGGATGCACATGCCACCCAAACAAATTTGAAAGCATGGTGAAATTGTTCATTAAATTGAATTCCTCATGAATTTCTTTCCAAGGCTTTTAAATGAATGAAGGGACTTCAAATTTACATGAACTTATTTTTCAAATAAAAAAAATCGAACGACTCCTGATGTTTGTATGTTTATGTAAGGGAATGTTCAAATTGTTTAAACTCAACTTGAATGAGTTCGTCATCAGTGGAATTTGTTTTCATGAAATTGACAAAGAAACTCCATACTTATTTGAATTAATCACATTTTCAACCAGACTGTTCCACAGATCACCATCTCAACTGAAAAACCTACATCAGGTTTTTCTGAATTAAAAACTGTTCTGTTCAGCCTGTTATGAGCGATGTATTGGTGGGCGAAGTGGTAAATTGGTGAAGTAACCGACACCGAATGTCATTTCTCACAATGTGAATCCCTAGCAACTGCATTAGGATTCAGCTGATTTATGTACCAAGCTGGCTGCAAGTTGTCTCGCTGATTGTCTTGATTTTTCCACTGC